TATGTACAGAATCTGAATATCGCAAAATATTTTAAAAAATTGCAATAATATCGTATCGTGCGTTAAGTATTGTGATAATATCGTATTGTGGGATGTATGGTGATTCCCACCTCTAGTATCGGCAGTACTGGCACTGCTTTTACTTGGTATCAGATCGATAGCAAAATCGCACAAAGCTACTCTGGACACAAATACGTGAACTTCAAAAGTCTGTGCATGTTTGTGCTGCACATGTCATTTATATGTCATAGTGTGATATAAACTGTGGCTTTGCTGATTTAATGTAGTCACAAATCAAAAAAAGAACAACATTAATTTAATGCATCAGTGTGGAAACAAAGTAAAAATCACCTTGAGTGGTGAACCAGTCACTCTGATCATTGTTAATCCTTGCCATCGACACAACACCATGTTTTGGCCTTTGTGAATATGAGTGAAGGCCTGGAACAGCCTCAGCATGACACCAATGCTTTACTCACAGGCAACGGAGGACAGGAAGGTGCAGCCACACTGAGGACTATAGAGGCAAAAAATAACAGTTTAGTTTTATTCAGTGTGATTTAAAGGGTTTTTGTATTGAAATTCAATGTACAAAGAGACACTCTGTCATTGAACAACTGCTTTTTAAACTCCCCTCTTCTTACCCTTCCTCTGAGCTCCTCTTTGTGTTCATTATTCTGTCCTCACATTGTTCCCTCGCCCGTTATTTTTCTGACAAAGAGCCTTTCACGGGGCACGGCAGCGGCCCAACACACTCATTCACGCGCATGCACACAAACACGGTAATCACACAGGTGTGGCCTTGCAGAATAAAACTGTCCTTCTCGATCATCTGTCGGCACAAACACGCACACGCTCCTGTCGGGGCCTCTCTGGCGTTTCGGTGGGGAGGAGAGGGGTGACGTGTGAATTTGAACCCCAACGTCGCATTCCTCTTTGTGTCACCATGACTCCGACCCATCCCCCTGTCTTTTCCTCCCTGTCCAGACGGGTTCGGGGAAGACGTACACCATGGGAACTGGCTTCGACGTCAACATCGGAGAGGACGAGCTGGGCATCATTCCCCGGGCCGTGAACCACCTGTTCAGAGGAATCGAGGAGCGCAGACAGGCCGCCACTGAGCAGGGCAGGCCTGTTCCTGAATTCAAGATCAATGCACAGTTCCTGGAGGTGCAGAAACACACACACTCACATCCACAAACAAC